GCGCGGTAGGCGTTATGCAGGCTGCGTAGATTTCGTGCATCCCATAACAAATGCTTCACATGACGTGTGATGTTCCGCCTAGGTGCAGGTCACACGCCTCGCCAGCCACCTACACCCAAACACAGCAGCAGATGGCTGACCGGCCAGAGCTTTCTTAAACTACTATCACACGCTGCCATGCCCATCATAACAACAAATAATAGTAAACTTACACCAAACTGACAATTGCTGCCGTGACTTTATTTTAAATATTCACTTTTCTAACGTTAACTGTCGGTTTACAAGTTCACTTGGTTTAATTTACCACTGTTGGGCATCTCGGGCATTGTTGCATTGCGTGGAACGTTAGGGTCAACGTCCACGCTTTACTCTTGTGGGGTTTTCGGTGCCTTACGTCCTTGGATTTTCATGGACTTCTCCGCTGCCCTTATCTCTGGCCTTAGCGTCATTATGGTATGGGCGTCGTATTGGGTTTACTTTGGTGTTACGGTGTTAAATATCATCCTAATTCGATCTTCCGGTCCGCTTTCAAGGTCACACAGGATCCATTTTAACTTACTCACTGATTTACAACAATCTTTGCACAAATTGCCTATTCCTTCTGTCCGCCTTCCCATCCATTAGCCCCATCCGTATAACCCCTCCTTCCACCGGTCCCGTAAGACACGATGACGTATCTTGCGTTATTTGGAATGGATCTCATATTGCGTCGCTGCCGCGTCCAGTAACTGGTGCGCATCTCTGGTGACCTCACTCTGCTACCTGTATCGACCGGCGGACTAAAACGGTTGCGGGCATTCGTGTGTAACCCACCGTACAGTCATTCCGCTCCATCCATTCTTCTCCTTCACATTCTCCCCCTACCTTCACCACATCCCTTCCATAACCCTTTCTATTCCTTCAAACCTTTTCTCCACGCTTCCCCCCACTCCCCACCGCTATTTTTCCTCCGTCCCACCCAGGCTTCACCCTTACCTCCTTCCTCTACTCTCTACTCTACTTTCATCCCCACGATCGAGAGTCCTGCGGCAAAAGTGACATGCAATCACGTAGGCAGCCCAGGCCAATGGTCGTTCTCTCACTAAATCTAGTGACTTATGTTGGAGGGCGGTATCCGTCTGGCGCGACTAAGCAGCCCTATTTAGGAAGAGCGCTGCTTTACCTCACGAGGGGAAAGAGTTAGAAAAGGTGTCCTAAACAGGGCTGGGTTCACGACATCTGCTTGCAGACTGTGACTATCAGACTGCTAAACACGCGATCGAAACTAAAGCACGAGGCACACTACCCTATCCCTTCCTCCTCCCCTCCTCCACCTTCTACTCCCCTATGCCCAACTGACAGGCTGCTAGAGTGAGTTCTGTCAATTTGGCAGCCTGAAATGTTTGTTCCCTTTTAGACAATCTCAGGAGTAACAGACCGGATCGGAGGATGCCGTTAGTGACTTGGAAACTGACGCGCTACAAGGTGGACATTGCTGCACTCAGTGAGACCAGGTCCTGCAAACAAGGATGCCTGCAACATCTTCTTCTCAACCGGCTGCCTAGGACAGAGCGATGGGACGCGGGCGTCACCTTTGCCATCTGGGATGACATAGTAGGATAACTACCCTGGCTGTCGCAGTGTATCAACGATCGCCTGACGAGCCTGCGCCCGCCTCTCTGGGGAGACCAATTCGCCATCATCGTCAGCGTCTACGCAACCTCGATGATCGGTCCTGGCACTGCAAGGAAAAATTATATGAGGACCTGCACGCCTTCCTGGCATCTGTGTGGAAGTCGGATAAGTCGACTATCCTTGGTGAATTCAGCGCCCAATTCGGGACAGGATGTGCTGCCCGGATGGGAGCGTTGGGTTCTCACGAAATCGCCGGCAACTCATTCTCCTGTGGACCGAACTGAACAACGCCTCCTACTCACCAACACATACTTCCGCCTCCCGATGCGGAAGATGGCCACCGGGACGCACCCTCGATCGCCGCGCTGGCAACTGCTGGACTATGTTCAAGTTAGACGGCGAGATCAACAAGAAGTTATGATGACCAAGACGATCTGCGATGTGGGTGGCTTGACGGATCACTGCCTCGTCATGTCCAATATTAGGCTCCGCCCGCAACTCTTCAGGAAGCCACTAGGTAAACGACCTTCAGTTGAGCCTAATACTGCTTTTTGTCTTTGCATGCTCACAGTTTGCACTTCAGCAGTTTGCCAACAGCAGATAAAAAGGCCTCCCAGGAGACTCGATGGCGCCGACAAGGGGCCGCCGTTTATTCGACCGCCCTCGTTGTCCTCGGCCGTGCACGCCGCTAACACCAGGACGCGTTCGATGGCAGTGATGCCGCCATCGGTAACCTGCTCGTCGAGAAGAACAAGCCGCACAGCGCCTACCTCGACCGCCAAACCGATGCGAATAAAGCGGCCTTCCACCAATGTCTTCTCCTTTCAAGCCCTCTCCTAAACGAACCACGTGGTAGATGCGTTAGGCCAACACGGGGGGTCATATCGGATTCTGGCAGGCGTTGTCGGATTGTGCACCATAACAAGTGCCAAAATTTCGGGGGTCGCGGTGGCAGACCCGGTTGTCCACCAAGGTCGCGCCCACTGGGACCCCTGCAGCCCCATTGTTGTCGTCGATCAAAAACTTGGTCATTTGTTGTGTGGACCAGGGGGTGTGAAGTGAAACGCCAAGATGCGGTCTCGACCGCGCAGTCCACCTGCGCCCTCCCTCGCCTGTGGTCTTCTTGACTCCGTCGTGACACCGGTTCCAGGTTGTGGAGGAGGTGAGAGTGGGGTCAATGCGGCGAAAGTTTACTATCACTATAAACCAACTCACGCGCAAGTCACCTTCCTTCCTCTCACCGTGTGGCGCACACGGTTGGCATCGACGGCGTGTGTGTGTATGGAACGTTCACCCCAAGGAAGAGCAACGGGACTCGGGCGTTGCCTTTACCATCCGGAACGACATCTTGAGACGCCTGCCCTGTCTGCCGCAGGGCATCAAGGACCGCTTGATGGGTCTCCACCTGCCTCTTCGGGGAGACAAATTCTCCGCCATCAACAGCGTCTACCCTCCGCCGATAACCAGCCCCGGCGCCTCAAAGGACAAATTCTACGAAGATCTGCATACCCTCCTGACGAGCTTGCCGAAGACGGATAAGTTGATTGTCCTTGGCGACTTCAACGCCCACGTCAGCGCAGACCATGCTGCCTTGAGAGGAGTACTGGGTCTCCATGATCTCGACGGCCCCAATGACAATGGCCTGCTCCTCCTACGAACCTGCGCAGAACACCGGCTCATCCTGACCAGCTTCCTCTTTCTGCCTTCCCATGCGAGATACGATCACCTGGATACACCCTCGGTTGCGACAGTGGCACCTGCTGGACTATGTCCTCGTCCGGAGGCGAGACCGGTAGAACGTGCTGGTGACAAAGGCGATTTCGGCACCGCCAGGTGAATAGACCATTGTCCCGTCATTTCCGAGATGCGGATACGCCTGCAGCCTCGCAGGAGACTTCAAGGTAAGCGACCACCAGGGAAGCTGAATACTGCTTTGCTGTCCTTGCCTGCTCACCATCTCCATTTCAGCAACCAGCTAGCCCAACGGCTAGACAACCTTCAAGTCACTGCTGCCGTCGTTGACGAGAACGCCTCCGTGGGGGACCGGTGATGTCAACTGTGGAACACAGTCGAGGCGACCGCATTGGTCGTTTTCGGTCACGCTCAACGCAAACACCAGAGCTGGTTCTATGACAACGACGCCGCCATCAGCAACCCGATCGCCAAGAAGAGCCGCCTGCACAAACCCTACGTCGACCGCTCCACCGAAATAAGGAGCTGCTTTTTACCGTAGTCGTCGTCTTATGCATCAGTGGCTCCGAGAGATGTAGGATACCTCGACGCTTCGTAAGGCCGAGGAGATCCAAGTGTATGCCGACCGCAAAGAATGGAAGAACTTCTCCGCGATCAAAGCTGTCTACGGTCCACCAACCAAAGATACTGCACCTCTTCTCAGCGCTGATAGCAGAATCCTACTCACTGGAAGACACAAATCCTACAGCGATGGACCCAATACTTCCGAGGCATCATTAACCGCCCTTCCACCATCTCCGTCTCTGCCGTCGCCAATCTGCCTTACGTGGCGACAAACGCCGACCTTGACCTCCCGCCCTCTCTGCACGAAACAATCAGGGCCGTGCAGCACATCTGCAGTGAGAAAGCACCCGGATAGGACGCGATCCCTGCCGAGATCTACAAGCGCGATGACTCCCAAGTCATGGATCATCTGACGCCGCTATTTCAGGAGATGTGGTGTCAAGGGGAAATTCCGCAGACTTTCAAGGATGCCACAGTAATCTACCTCTGTAAGCGGAAAGGAAACCACCACTTATGCGACAACCATCAAGGCATCTCCTTGCTGTACATCACCGGGAAGATCTTTGTTAGCATTCTCCTCAACCGCCTGACCAACCACCTGAAACAAGGTCTTTTGCCGGAAAGCCAATGCGGCCTCCGTCGTCAGCGTGGGACCAGAGACATGATCTTCGCCGACCACCAACTGCAGGAGACGTCCCAGGAGATGCGGATCTGACGAAAGCCTTCGACACGGTGAATCGCGAAGTACTGCGGAAATCATGTGGAAATTTGGCTGTCCAGAACGATTCATTCAGATGGTGCGTCAGCTCCGCGAGGGCTTGATGGCGCGCGTCACGGACAATGGAGCTGCCTTGGACGCAAGCGCAGTTTCCAACGGAGTGAAGGAGGGCTGCGTCCTCGGGCCCACCATCTTCAGTCTTATGTTGTCTGCCATGCTGATGAATGACTACCGTGACGAATGCCCCAGGACCCGCATCACCTACAGGATGGACGGCTACCTCCTCAATCGTCGACGGATGCACTTCCAGTCTCGTGCATCCACAACTACCGTCCATGAACTCCCCTTCGCCGACAACTGCGCTCTCAAAACCACCTCCGAAAGGGAAATCCAAAGGAGCATGTATCTCTTCCTTCGCCTGCAACAACTTCGTTCTGATCATCAACACGGAGAAGACTGTGGTCATGCACTGATCGCCAACCAACACAGCCCCTTCCCTCAATGTGCCGCAAATCAGCGTGAACGGAACCCAACTGCAGGTGGTAGACAACTTCATGCATTTGGACAGCACCCTCTCCCGCCGCACAAAAATCGACGATAAAGTTGTCCGCCGCATTTCCAAAGCCAGTCAAGCCTTCGACCGTCTGCAGAACACCGTCTGGAACCGTCAAGATCTCCATCTCAACACCAAGCTGAAGACGTACAAGGCAATCATCCTGCCGACACTGCTGTCGAGAGCGGAAACCTGGACGGTTGACAGGAAACAGGCGCGGAGAATCAGTCACTCCCACTCCAGCTGTCTTCGACGGATATTGCAGCCCCATATTTTCGTTTTTACCTATACCACCGATGTTTCTAGTAAAGTTCATGTGATTTCTGCCGGTGGAAATCGCGTGTCCCCAGGAATAAAATGGATGTTGCTGTCTTAGCCCTATTTTCTATCATGTCCGGGGTTTGTATGCCTATTTTTGGCATCTCAATTCCGCAGGGTTGGCTAATTTTGACGCAGCTGCTCTGGGACTTAATGTTAGAGTGCCTGCGCCATTAAGGGAAAGTATTCTCACTTGTTACAATGCATTTCAGTCAGCAGATTCAGTAGTGGAAATTCATAGCACGCGTTTAGGGCAGAATGCAGAAAACGTTAAAATGACTTGGCTATTCAGTATGTCTGAAGAATCCTAAATGTATTTTTTCCGCCAATATGCTTTGTTATGTTATGCGTTACAAGCTGTTCGGAGTACTTTACTCTGATCTGCAAAGTCATTCTCCCCATTACCCCGAGTAGTAACCCACCACCACACATATTGACACTGTTGAAATAACCGCCAACCATTTGTGGTTACTCCAACTTTGTCACTTATTTCGATGCCACTTTCATATCTCACATCGGCCTGAGCACATAGACCGGCGACCTACTGGCTGCAGCCTCAGCATACATCCCGAGCTCACCTCTCCCCTGACCATACTGCCCCGGAAATTCAGACACCATCGAGCCTATTCAACCCTATGCTGCCTGCCAGCCAATGCACACATCGCTAGGCCACATTCGAGCTCACATCATAGCACGCACATACATGCTGCCGGCCCGACACACATATGCGGGCACGCATTTCGAAGTGACACTTTGAGGGCAAGGACCATTCGCAACACCTGCTTCCTGCGTCGCCTTCAATCAAGATATTAATGCTGTCGGCCTTGCTCAGGATATTTGTGTTTTCTCCGGAGACGGTGTTATGCCTGACAAAAGCAGCCTACATTCGTCCACCAGAGTAAAATTGACATTTTAGCAATCGTAATTCGCTCGCGCTCTCATCTCGGCTAATATCGTCCAAATGTGCTTGTCAAAGAAAGTGCTTCCCAGACCAACGGAGAACTGGCAATGCGCTTGCAGTGACACTACCAGACCATGCTGACACAGTTGGAGACGACGGGAACAGGCAAACAGCCTAAAGTGTTCATTGTCAAATTCTGGGACGGAATACAACAAGGAACGGAGCTTCATTATTGCTGTCGACTGTCATGTGCAACAGAAAAGAACTGACGACGAGAAATACGAGCAGGTGGTATGGCTAAGGGGCATTTCGATACATTGCTTTGAGATATAGCGTTCGAGATGGCAGAACCGAGATAGACAAATTTGTCCACCGAAGCGAGACAAGTTTCATTCACCCTGGTGCTGGACGTAGTGTGTTACCTCGCTCGTGCTGGTTGCTGCATGACCAGCGTTCGGGGTGACAGAGGCGAAGAGTTCTTTGTTTGATTACACCTGCGCATCAACCTGGGACAACCTCAATCAAGATTGCCCTCGGGGAGTGCGCCATAGCACGAATCCAATCGAGTCACTGATGGCAGGGCAAATTTGCGGACCGCAGGGTTCAGTTGCCTGAGAGCAGTTCCGCAAGCACTCAATGCCTGCCCTCATCATATGCACAATCTAAAGCGGTATTCCGGGCACGATAAGCCTCGCCAAGCATCAACGAGCCACATGCAATGTCGACACACAACCTGCTCGTAGTATACTTTGGGGTAAGGTGATTCCATAATAACAGCACAGGTAGCAGCCATAAAATCCTTTGTCTGAGATTATAGACTTTAAAAAATACTGCTCTTCTCCCAGTTTGCAGTTATTTTCAAAGGACATTTATAAGCAATAATTCATGGGTTAAAAACAGCGCTCCAGCCAACACCACCACAGTACGCCCTAACAACCTACCTACAAACCCATCCAACACGCATCATTCTAGGCCACAGTTGAGGCAAAACCATTGCAGCCTGCGCATGATTTCCGCCAACTCGTAAACCACGCCTCTCTCCGACCACAAACCTGCGACTCAATGCCACTGCAAAGTCCCACGTCAGAACATGCACATCTGTCTATTGTCGGAAGCCTATGATTTGTGCACGACCGAGTGCATGTCTTGCTAAGCAATCACACGGTAGAACACGTTAACCTGCCCTCTTTAGATCTCAGATAACCTCATCGAAACAGACAGAAGTGGAATAACACGTCAGTTTTATTTAAACAATGCCATCTTGAACATCATAACAAATCAGATATTTGGTGTCTAACAGATTGGAGGAAAACAGTTCGGGTAATCGACAACGGGAATTGGAGCGCTGATTCTCACAAATAGTACGCCCTCGGGGATTAAACACTGTGATCATGTCGTAGTCAGGTCTGTCGGAAGCCTCACTACAGACACCTCCATCGATTATTCGTCTAGAGCAATTACTTGGAGGCTCATTTGAATGGTGATAATCAGCGCCCGATGATCCCAACGTACCGCGACATTAAGTGGACATCTGCAAGTCAGGAAGTCAGTTGAGGCCGATCCGAGTACATGGCCACACCGCCATACACCACCTCAGGATGATTCGCACATGCGTCCGATGGTCGTCTGATATTGGTGGGGGAAGGGTATGTGCACCGAAGTAGGAACCAAAGAGTCAATACATCATCCATTGCCTGATGCGCGCGAAGGAAAAATGAATCAGGCATACTTTGTGAATCCACTCGTCTCCGGTTGCACGTCTCCTAATTCTGCAATTATTTTCTGCCTGATGTCGGGCCACTTGCTGACCAAGTCATACACCACCTGCAAGTACGGAAGACAAATACTTAGAAATGACCGTCAGATTGATGGCAAGCCCTGCCTTAAAGAGAAACTTGCAGCTGCCGCAGCAAGATCCTACCTGAACTGATTCATCATCCGTCTGGCCGGAGACAGCTCGGCAAATGAGGATGAAAAGGCGGACTACCTCTTCTTGCGAACGCTGGCGAACCAACTGCCACACCTTGTGCCAGTGTGTGAACAGGTGGTCCAGTGTGGCCAAGTAGGCACCAACTTCACCATGCACTGAAAGCACACCTCCAGTCAGTTGGAAAGACGTGAATCGTTGTGGACATTGGAGGATGGACGTTAGGCACTTGAACCTAAACAACGCACAGGTAGCCAGCCATGCACATGCTAGATCGCAACTCACCAGACATGTCACCTCCTCACTGGACTGCAGGACGAGGTCCACAGACGTCTCAGGCATGCACAAGTCCGCTTCACCATTTCGTGGCAGTGTTGCCAGCGCTGATCTCCACACCTCTGAAAACGACAACACCCATCACGTCATTTCGAAACAGGCTGTATGCATGATCCTCATTCAATTGAACTACAGTAGCATTAGGAATCATGTAAAAAGCCCCATCTTCTGCTGCAACGGCATAGTTATAAGCGTCCGTTTTTGATTAAGGACGAACAGAAGAGTACTGAGTGATGGGAGAAGGCATTGCCAATTGTGAGAAAAACAAGAAAACTGCTCACTATTGACTGCTGACTTCTCGTCAGAAAGCGTCTAGCGTGAAAAGTAAACTCATGTCAGATTAATGACTCACCCATACCCTCCACCAGTCTCGACGGCAGACATTCAACGTAGAGGGTAATCATTGTTGCTAGATGGTAAGGATCTGCGAAGAGTTTGGGGCGGATTCGGACCAGATCGTCAACGGGGTACTGAAATGTGTTAAATGCACGTCAAGGAATATGGCGGAATACAAACGAGCAGGATTTGAACAACAAAGTGTAAAGTCGCCGCGCGAAACTCACCGAGTTAATCAAATTCATTTTTATGCGGAGAGTCGACGAAGTCATCATGTCTGTATATAATGCCGGCCAATCCATTCCGTGCTCCTCGAGCTTCTGGATCAAAACTGCCAGAACGTGTGGGACGCCCTAAATGCAATAATGATTCATCATGTCAGTCTCAAGATCAGCACACATTTGCCAATGGATTACTTGCATTTTTCTGTTTTGTTGAAAAGAAAATGCCTGTTCCATATTGGCAGCAAAGAGTAGGTTATGCAATTGAGGAACATGTGAATCATACTCACGGGGAGCTGAAGACTTTCCTCCTGCGTCTGAATGGGGGCCCCATATACAGCGCCCAATGGAGGGGCGTAGATTGACATTGCCTCCTCGCTTTCTGGTACTTCATCGCAGATATTGGCGTGAACCTCTTGTTCGTCCGTCTGAAATCCAAGGAAGGCACGATTTGGGCACATTTCTCACACAGTCGGTAAAACGACTTTGCTTCAGAATGTTTATAGAGAAGCGAAAATTCGTAGTTCAAGGAGCAGTTTAGAAGACAGGATAGCGGGCCCGTAGCTCAGTGGTTAGAGGCGTTGGCTTCTAACTAACCTGTCTCAAGTTCGAGTCCCAAGCGTTCCACACTTCAGGGTTGGGTATGACCGGGTGACGACGGCTAAAAAGCCAGAAATGGCATTTCCATTCTGCCAGCATATGATGTCTGGAACGAGAAATTTATGGCGAGACACTTCGAATATCCACTCGAGACAATAAAGTTCTTGTGTCAGTGGTCGCATCTTCTTCTTCTTTTTCGGAATTATTTATTAGCAGAATGGAGAACAGCCACATTTGTACGGGAACTGTTCTGTTGCAAAGTGTACATTGCTGCTCTCAGCGAGAATGGCTTCTCTGAACAGGGACAACAGGAGGAGATAGATACAGTAGACGACTTATCCTCGAGCGGGAGTCAAAGGGCATCGCAGAGAATGGTTGCAGTTGCTTTCGCATCGGCATCAACGTCGTG